CAGCTCAGGTTCCAGCACCCTGGAGGTCAAGATCAGATGGTTTGTGCTTTGCTCGGGGGGTTTCCTTTATTTACTCTGCACAGGCCGGTTTGCTCATAAAAGTTTAACGATGCGAATACCTTGCCTGTCTGGATGCCGGGTCGTTTGGGCGGGCGATTGTGCGCCTCCCTTGTACACACTGTCACCGTGCTTGCATGTGCAGTCGGTCAGGCCAGTCATTTCGTGGACTGGAAGCTCTTTGGGGAAGGGACGTATGTACAGCATCGTGCACAATGGGCCCCCCAGTCTTGAGTGGGGCCACTGGGCAGGGACTGTACGATCAATGTTACATGTGCAAAATAATAATACTGGCGTTTCTAGCAATCTTCAGCAGCAGATCTCAACATGCTTTACAAAGGAGGGTGGTATTATTATCATCATCCCGATTTTACAGATGGGGACACTGAGGCAAGGTCACCCAGCAGCCTCGTGACAGAGCTGAAGGATCTCAAACCCCCTCCCAACCATTGCTGGCTTTTCATGTAGGATGGGGACACACACAGAGACACACACGTCTGTGTCTAGCATTATCCGCATTGTGCCAACAAAACTGACGCACAGAGAGGTTAACTGACCCGTCTAAAGTCACGCAGTGAGTCTGAGGCAGCGCTGGGGATAGATCCTTGTTCCTTGCTCTGCTGTTTGTTTAGTGTGTTGTTGTTAGGGAGCAGGGCCCCGTGGTGCTAGGGCTGCCCGGGGCTTTTGGTTAGTTACCTTCTTTCTGCAGGCCCCTCAGGATCGGGCCCAGACGCTGTTCCCAGGCAATGGCTCCTCGGGGGCCTGTGTGAAATTAGCGTGGCCCAGTCGCCGTGCAGGGAGCGCCCCCGCCCTTGCTGGTGGGCTCCATTGTGCCCCCGGTGAGCAGCCGCAGCGGGGGGGCCATGTCTCGGGTGGGCCACAGAGGCTGAGCCCCACTTTCGCCCCTAGCAACTGACTAAACCCTGGGAAAGCTCCCTCTGGCGTGGACCTGGGCCCCAGGAGCACCGCATCCTGTGTCCCTTCAGTTTCGAATCGCAGCTCCTGTGCGCGTTAGCCCCAGGAGCAAGACACAAATCTCTGGGCACCTGTAGGGAGATGGCACTGCAGTATGGAAAGGTTTGGCTCTTTTCCCTGACAGCCGCAGTCAGGTTTCCGTGCGTCCTTCCTTTTGTGTCTGGCTCTATAACTCCTAGACAACACTATTCCTTGATGAATTCCAGCCGTGCTCTGTACACAGCCCTCAGCCGGGCTCTCCGGGGACTCATTTTCTTCTCCTGCCAGCAGTGGAAGGACACCGGTGTCATAAACGGTGTGATTTGTTGGAGCAGGACCCAGACACTAATGGCTCCTGAATCTAAAGAGGGATTTTAATTAGTGGAGAAAACTTTCCAACAGGAGACTGAAAGCAATTAGGGCCTTTCGCTTTCCACAAGACCGTCCTCCTCATTTATTTCTTTTGTCCTCCTCACTCGTTAGCCGAGCTGTTTAAATACCAATACTTGGTGCACACCTTCAAACACTGGTTAACCTTCACTCCTGGGGCTGCTTTCAATTTCTTCAAATGAAAAGGGGCTTTTTTGGGGTGGAAAAAATCCCAACCTTTTTAAAAATAAAATTGGCCAAAAAAATGGTGTCACATTTGTATGGCAGTGTTTTGTTTCCCCCAAACCAGGGCTTTGGCCAATGGCAATGGAATATTTTCAGTAATCTGCGGAGTGCAAAGTGGATAAATGTCACCCACAAAACTTAAAATTGGCTCATTCGAACACTTCTGAATGAAGACCGTTTTTAAGTTGTTCACTAAACAGGTTTCCAGCCGGCTCTGTCCCAGCCCCTTTCCTGGGCTGGGTAAGGACCCCACGGTTCCTCTTCTTAAACCAGAGCAAAGAGAAGGTGACGTGGCAAAGGCCGCAGAGGGAAGCTGTGGCAGAGCCAAGATAAGGCGCTGGGGGTTCCCGGCAGTTAGTCCTTCACCACTACACTAAAACCCTTCCTAGGCCATTGGCTTCGGTTTTAATTTTTCCCGCCATGCTGTGAACCTAGTGACCACACGCATGTGAAATGTCACAAGAAAACATTCACTGCTTTGCCCAGCGACACGTGCTTCCCGCGTCTCGCTCCGCTGTGAAATGCAGCCAATCAACCCGTCTCGCCGTCTGACTGGAAATGGGCCCCTCTTCCGGCCCACCAGGCCCAATCTTCTGGCTTAAAACCGGCACGATATTGCAGACTCTGGCTCTGTCCGTCTCCAGCTCGTGAGCAGGGAGTGTGGGGAAAGCCCTGGAAATCGCACTGAGGCCTTGGCCCTGGACCGAAGAGGCACCAGTTTAACTAACAGACACAAACACTCATAGGGCTAGCCCAGTGCGACCGCCTGTGTGGAGACCGTTTCAGGCAGGTCAGAGGGGCTTAGCCGAACTCAGTGCCGGGGAAAAGGTGCCTCATACAGGCCTAGCTTCTCCCCTTTCCTGCGTAGGAACAGCGATAGCGCTGCTGTTAAAGCACTCCGGGTGTAGTTACACTGGTGGTTACAGCCGTACGGCTCCTGTGGCTGTACACCAGGCCGGCAGTGCAGAGCCCCGTCTCCCTGCGGTGTTTGTGACGTCACAGCCGCTTCCCCCGCCACAGCCCGGCAGCCGGACGAGGCTTTCCCACTTCTGCTTACGAAACCCCAGCCGGCCTCGGCCCCCCCCAAGGGAAGCAGCAAGCCGCCAGCCAGCCCCCACTTCCCGTCCATCTGCCTGTCTCTCCCTGCCCCTGGCCATGAGCCAGGCTGGCAGCCCTAAGGGGAACTGAACGTACCACACCATGGTCATGGGCAGCCCTGCCAGCTGGTGCCGCTTGGAAAGGTGCCTCCTCCCAGCCATGTGGGTACTTGGTGCAAACCGATGTGGGGAGGTCCTGTAATGCCCTAAAGCCAGAGGGCAGGGGAGACGCTCTGAGCAGGGACTCGCTTGGGCTGGCTTTGGGCCCATCTGCTGCCTCAGTTTCCCTCTAGGCTCCAAAGTCTCCCTGGTCATTTTTCAGGGCTTCCCCTGGCTTACAGCCTGGCCTGCAGCCTGCCTTGCCTTCCCTCCAGCCACACGACTCTTCGGTGGTCCTCCACGCTGGGGGTTTTCCCCCAGTAGGCTACTGCTCCCTGCATGGCTCTCCCCCTCTCCCCGACCTCAGGCTGCCCTTCTCTTCCCCCTCAGGCCTGGTTTCTAGTTCCCTGCTGCCCCACACCTATTCTGTCCACCTGGGGAGGTGGCTACACCTGGTCTGAGCCCCCAAGCTCCTCAGAGGGCCAGCTCAGCTTGTGAGAAGCTCCCTTTGCCAAGTGGGAATCGAGAAGGTATAACAGTACGAGGATGGGGCTGAGGGCTGGGATCCTGGGAGTCCCCGATTCCCCGGATCCCTTCTCTAGCTTCCTTCTGTGTTAAGCTCTGGTCGTTCCTGCATGTCTCTGCTCCCGTTCCCTCCTGCTCTCTCTCTCTGCTCCCCCCCTTCACGCTGCCGCCTGTGCCCACGTGCTCTCCCTAAACCGGTCTCCCTCCTGAAACCTCTCCCCTGCCAGGACGCCCCAGGCCCAGCATGCAGGGACCCACTTCTCCACCGACCCCCATCTCTGGGATAGAGGAGCAGCAGTTCTGTGTCACCGCGCAGTCCGTTGGGCAAAGTCTGGGGGGGGAGCCTGCGTCCCCCGCACCTTCCCCACCCAACTCCACAGCGGCAGGAGTTTGCTGTTCCCGTCTGGCCGTAGAGCACAGGTTCACGTTTGTTATGGACCCCCTTGAGCCAAGGCAAAGGTCCAGATACGAGCGTGAAATAAACCAGCTGTGCTTTCCAGGGGAGTGACAGCCGAGTGCCTGGTACAGGCAGCGCTCAGAGAGAGGTGAGAGAGCGGGGTTCCCCGGAGCTGGGGGACCTGATACAGCAGCCTAGCCAAGAGCAAGCGCTGAATCAGATGGACCAGCATGGACAGCTGGTGTGCGGCTCGCGGCCTCCAGAGCTGGCTCCGGGGAAGCAGCCTTGTCCTTCAGCTCCTCATAAATGCAGCCCGGCAGCAGCAATCGCATCTGCCTGCGTGTGCCCTGGCGCCTCTGCAGAAGGGCATCGGTTCCTCTGCCCGGACTCATCCGGACGCTTGGTTTCCTTTTCCCGCCCCGTGGAGATCGGCTGGGGGATCTCTCAGGGTCCCTTCCAGTCCCGCCTTTGTGAGAGTCTGCGAGATGGCTCCAAAACCCGCGCTGCCGACGCTGAGCGCTGTCCGCAGCTCCTGCCCCGCTTTGCCTGAAGGAGTGACCATTCCGATGCGGTTTAGTTCTGCCAGGCCCCTCGGCGCGCCCACGGCCAACAGAGCCCCAGCTCCGTCCCCTTCTGCGAAGGATTTCCCCGTTGTCAGGGCCGGCTCCAGGCACCAGCCCACCAAGCTTGTGCTTGGGGTGGCACCTGGAGCGGGGCGGCGCGGTGCGGCGCTCCGGCTCCGGGGAGAGCGGGGCCACTGCCGGGCTCGCCGCCCTCCCCCCGGGGCTCCGGCCGCCCTCCCCCCGTGCCCTCCCGTGCTGCACCGGCGGGGGGGGAGGGCAGCCGGAAGCTTTTTTGCCTGGGGCGGCAAAAAAGCCAGAGTCGGCCCTGCCCGTTGTGCACGGCCAAATCCTGAATCCTTCTCTCCCCTTTGAAATCTCACAATAGCACCCAGGAACCTCCAGCACGGGCCTGGGAAAACGTCCGCTCGTATAGATCTGCGGATACGAGAAGTGGATTTCCCTGCTAATGCCAGGGAAGTTATCCCCACTCCCGTCTCATGCAGGTGCATTAGAGGACAAAGGGCTAGTCCCCGTTTGGAGGGCGAGGACAAAGGGCTAGTCCCAGAGACCTAGATCCCTCTGGGCTGGAGTGGGACCTTGGCCTTCTTGTAGGGGCAAATTTCACCCTAGATGAGCTCAGCCAACTCGCCAAGTGTCCTGTTCTAACACTGCCCTGGGCTTCTCCCCACACAGAGTTGTCCGACGTCCGGCGCTTCAGAAGCCACGCCCTGAACTACACCACCCTGCTGCTGGAGGACGAGAAGGGGATCCTCTATGTGGGAGCGCGAGGGGCCATATTCGCCTTAAACTCCAGCAACATTGCCGACGGCTCCCAGAGGGAGGTGAGCAACGCCCAGCCTGGTCTGGGCTGAGATTCCTGAATGGCCAGTTGATTGGTTTGGGTGCTGAGCGTCAGGCGTCTGCAGCTGGCCAAAACCGAGTCGCTGGTCACTTGGAATCTTGGCCTTGGCTCCTAGCTACCTTTTTTTTTAAATGACATATAGGAGTCAGATTGGTGTGGGGGGAGGGCAAGGTGGTGGTACTCTTCTAAGCTCCACCCACAAAAATAAGCTCCGCCCACGTGTCTTCCCAAAACGAGGCCTGGCTCCCAGGACACTGTGCGGATCGGTGACCTTCCCTCTGCTTTCTCCCACGAGCAGTGACAGAATTAACCAGGCTGGTGTTTGCATTGGTGTCCCTGAGTGTCTGAGCTAACCCCTAGCAGAGCTGAAGGAGGCCGTTTTCACCCCTTCTAGCGATTGCCCCAGGCTCTCTGCCTCAGTGACGCTTGTCGAGAGCCTCTTCCTAAGTAGGACAGCTAACGATGTTTTAGTTTGTCGTACAAGCTGAGATTCTGGAGAGCAATTAACAGCTCCAGCTGAATGCTTGTTAGGGCTGGGTGAGACACGGTTTTCTAATCCCAGGAGAATTTTCAACAGTGTGAAAAATGTTCCTGTCCCAAATTGCGGAAAAAAGTCAAAATGTCAAAACTGTTCAAGAACCAAAGAGCCACTGTCCAGGTCAGTCCGAACGTAACGTTTCGACCCTTTTAGCCTCCCCCACTCCCTTTTTGTAGTGTAAATTTACAGACATTTCTGAACTCAAGTAATTTTGACGACAACCCGAAACGTTCCAGTTCGACAGTCTCTGGTCTCTTTGACCAAAGAGAGTCTGGTGTTTCGTTGATCCTGACCTAGTTTCGTGAACAGTTTCGGTTTCGATACATCGGCTTTTTTTGAGGGGGAAAAACACCTGTTCATCAGAGAGTTCCCAACCTGGCGGCGCAGGGAACGGGGCGCGTACTGGCTGTTTCTGAAACCTGGACTTAAAGGGCAGAAATGGGCCGGGTTCCCCTAGCCGTTCCCAAAGCTCCCTGTGTTGCTGCCCAGTTGGTTGGGGTGACGCCCATTGCTCACAGCACCTGCCCTCTCTCTGGGGCAGGAACAAGAGCTTGGCATGCTAGTGGACGGCTCGAGGCTGACAGCCCCAGAGGGGACGCCCTCTACAGGCGCAGCAGCAGCAGTGCAAGCTGCTCCACTCCCACCCACAGGGCCAGGCGGCCGAAGGGGGGTGCTCCTTGGCAGAGTAGGCAAAACTGACTCTCAAGTCCATGAGAGAGGGAGAGCGGGCGGGGGGGCATGCAACTAAAGCACAGGACTGGGACCCAGGGGATCGAGGTTGGTTTCCCAGCTGCGCCTCAGGATCCCCACGTGACCTTGGGCAAGTCACTTCCGTGCCTCAGTTTCCCATCTGCAAAACAGGGTTAGTAATCCTTCCCTTGTTTGCCTGGCTGTGTCTGTGGTGAGCTCTTCAGGACAGGGAAGGGACGTTCTCTTGTTATTCACAGCACCTAGCACCCGGGAGCCCGGATCTCGGCTGGCGCTGCCGTGATTCCAGTCATTAGTATCAACGGCCAGGCTCCGTCATCTCTCCGTGATCTGCCTTAGCCGAGCTAGTTCTTGGTACCAAGTGAGTTTGCTCCCAGCATCCCCCTCTGCCTGACCAGGGTGCAGTTTGCTGCTCCTGTCCCCACCTGGGGCCGGTCCATCACCTCACGGCCATTTCAGGTACCGGTAGCTGCACTGGAGCCATGACTTGCGGCCGCTCCTGCGTGTTGGGGTTGGTCCATCTGTCCTCCCAGCTGATGCCCCCAAGTGCTTCTCCCGCAAAGTCTCAGCTGCTTTACCTCCTTCCTTTGGGGTGCATGCCACGCCCCCCGGCAATGCCGGCTGCTGTCCGCTGAGCAAGCCGGGCTGGAGAGAACACCCTTCCCGCAAATTCCTCCCTGGGCCCTGGCACCCCGCAGCTGAAACCAAACCAAACCCGTGGTGCTATAAAGCCCAGCACGGTCTGGGGGCACAGGTGAGAAGGGGCCCCCCAGTAACCTAGCCAGACCTGTTCTCCCGCACCCAGCAAGGAGCCCAGGAATCTGGAGTAGGCCAAAGACCAGGCTGTTTGCCCCAGGCAGAGAGTCGGGGGGGATCGGGGTGCAGGAGGAGGCTGGAGGGACCGGGGCGGGGTGTCCTCAGCAGTCAGCCCTCCCTTGGGGACTCTGCTGTTCCCCAACCCAAGCGCGGCCGCTTGGAGGAAGCGCTGCAAGCCGCACTCTCCTCTAGCCCCAGCTGTTCATCCTCCCCTGGCGGCTTCTTACGGCTGAGGCGGACGGGGATTGCGGAGCACTGGTTCCCTGGGCAGCGGCAGAGCCCTTTGCCCATCGCAGCCGCGGGCAGTGCCTCCAGCCAGGACGGCGACGGGCACCAGGCAGCACCTGTGCCCCTCTCACAGAACCCCTTACCCCAGACCCCACGTGGTCAAACACATCTGGCGCCCAGCTCCTCCTCAGAGGTGACCTTTAACCCCCGGGCCCACTGCCTCCCCTCCCCCATGCCATGTTCCTGGGCGCCATTGCAAACACGCTCCATTGAAGTCCCTGCAGCCTCCAGCTGCTAGCTCCCCGGTGCCCCCCTACGGCCAGTTCAGTGTCTCCCCAAAGCTGGACGCCTCACCCCGTCCCAGCTTCTTCTCCGCCCGCAGCTAAGGATACGCGCCCACAGATCAGACCGTTGCAGGGTAGAGTTAAGGTTTTCCAGCCATTAAGTCCTTCCAGATCCTGTTGTCCTGGACACACACACGGTCTTTTGTGTCCCGATTTTAAGATCCCTGCCCCCCCGGCTGACGGGCGCAGCGGATGCGATTTTGCAGCCTGACAAATTGGCTGGTGATGAATGTTGTCTCTGTGCCAGCCTCCGCAGAGCTGTCCTCCCCCGCGAGGGGCCAGTCCAGCCGGAGGTCTTACTGACAGCAAGGCCGTTTCTCTGCCAGCCCCGCTGCATGGGCAGGACGGTGTCGCCGGGCGGTGGAGGGGCATTTTTGCTTCCCGTCTCTGTCTCTCCGAGCCTTTCCCGTGAGGGGCCCTGGGCTTTTGTCACGATGGCAGCAGCGTCCCAGTTGCACGAGCGTTTTATGATGTGTATTATGGTGGCACCGCGAGGCCCCGGTGTGCCGGGCGCTGCACAGGCAGAGGGACCGTCCCCTGCCTCAGAGAGCTTTGAAATAGGTAGGGCGGAGCCTGGGCAGCAGACAAGAAGAATTGTGACCCCAATGGCATGGAGAGATTAAGTGGGTCTCCCAGGGCAGCAGAGAGAGGGTCTGATGGTGCCAATCGCAGCCCCCCCCAGGCGCTACGTCACTCAAAGCTTGGGGGCGTGGGAGAGCAGCTTCAGGCATTGGTGCAAGGTCCTACGCCAGCGGAGAATTCGGCACAGCGGAGTCCTGCCCTCCCTGTCCCTGTCTGGCCCAGGAGGTGGTGGGTTTGGGTCCTACAGCTTCACATCGGTGGGCAGTGCCCCTCGTGGGGCGGATTCTCCAGGGCATAAGCTGTGTGGTTTAAGTTCCTCCGGTTCTGTTCAATATCTTCATCATTGAGTTAGCTAACGGCATCGAGTGTCCACTCATACAGTGTGTGGACAATACCCAGCTGGGAGGGGTTGCAAGTGCTTTGGTGGATAGGATTAAAATTCAAACTGATCAGGACAAACTGGAGAAATGGTCTGAAGTAAATAGGATGAAATTCAATCAGGACAAATGCAAAGTACCCCACTTAGGAAGGAACAATCCGTTGTACACATACAAAATGGGCAATGACTGCCTAGGAGGGAGTACTGCAGAAAGGGATCTGGGGGTCATAGTGGATCACAAGCTAAATATGAGTCAACAGTGTAATGCTGTTGCAAAAAAAGTGAACATCATTCTGGGATGTATTAACAGGAGTGTTGTAAGCAAGACACAAGTAATTCTTCCGCTCTACTCTGCGCTGATTGGGCCTCAACTGGAGTATTGTGTCCAGTTCTGGGCGCCACATGTCAGGAAAGATGTGGACAAATTGGAGAAAGTCCAGCGAAGAGCAACATGATTAAGGTCTAGAAAACATGATCCATGAGGGAAGATTGAAAAAATTGGGTTGGTTTAGTCTGGAGAAGAGATGACCGAGAGGGGACATGAGAACAGTTTTCAAGTACATAAAAGGAGGAGGGAGAAAAATTGTTCTTCTTCACCTCTGAGAACAGGACAAGAAGCAATGGGCTTAAATTGCAGCAAGGGCGGGTTAGGTTAGACTTTAAGAAAAACTTCCTAACTGTCAGGGTGGTTAAGCACTGGAATAAATTGCCGAGGGAGGTTGTGGAATCTCCATCATTGGGGATTTTTAAGAGCAGGTTAGACAAACACCTGCCAGGGATGGTCTAGCTAATACTTAGTCCTGTCTCAGTGCAGGGGACTGGACTAGATGATCCCTCGAGGTCCCTTCCAGGCCTGCGATTCTGTAAGTGGGGCCAAGTGAACTGGTCAGGCTGGACGCTCTGCCCCTTTGCTTTGTGCGGGGAAGGCAGGGGAACGCAAAGCAGTAAAAGCCCAGTCTGTGATAGGCATGGTCCAGCGGAGTTGGGCGCTGCTGGTGCTCAGTGGGCCCCAGCCAGGGATTAATAGCCGCCAGGTCCTTATTTGAGTCACGAAGCGTGGAAAGCAAATGGACCCAGGCGTGGGGCTGTTCCTGTGCCATTAGCCTTCACCAGCCGAGCTGGCTCTTTAGGGGCTTGGGTGACATCACTCCGGGGCGTTGCGGGGCGGCTATCGTCTCCACAGCCGGGAGGCACCGGTGAGTAACGACCCCTTGTCCCTTCGCAGATCCAGTGGGAGGCGTCTCCGGAGAAGCAGAACGACTGCCTCCAGAAGGGCAAGAACAACAAGGTATTTGCGGCCGGGTCTCTGCCCGTGCGGGGGGTGGGCGGGCGCAGGAGTCGGGCCCCCGTGTGATGCTCTTTCTTCCTCTCTGCAGACCGAGTGCTTCAACCACGTCCGGCTCGTGCAGAGGCTGAACGACACCCACCTGTACGCCTGCGGCACCTACGCCTTCCACCCGCTGTGCGCGGCCATCGTGAGTGCGATCACGGGGGAATTCACGAGGAGGGAGACCCCGGCTGGGTGTTGGATGCTCTCTCCATCTTTGTTCATCACTCCATGCTTCCGGCCCCATCACAGGCTTCTGTCGCTCTTCGCTGCTCTCCCTCCTGGCCGGCAATATCTTCCGCAACAAGTTGCCACCAACCCTCGTGGTTGATCCATGGACCGTTCAGCGTGGGGAGCAGGGCATTGTTAGCTGGCAGGGGGTGCTCCAGAGGGCCCTTGTTTGGCAGGGTTACGGGCCTGTCATGCAACCTGAATCCCCCAGCCCAGGCCCCGCCGCACGACAGTCACGAATTAAATGTGGCTTGCAAGGAACGTGGCTGGATCTTGGCCTCCGCCTCAGGCTGCCCCACCCAGTGTAGGGAGTGAAAAAGTCCATTCTGGGCTTTCTGTTCTTCACCTTAGTCACCTCCAGCCTTCGATAACCAGGAGAGGGCACATTTTAAACCAGTGTGTGGGGTTTCAGCTGAAGGTCCCTTCGCTGATGTCAGATGTTGTGGCCACGGGCATATCAAATATATAAAAATAGGCAGGGCTGGTGGAAGGTTGCCTGACACTTCCCATTATAAGACCCTGTTTTCAGTTGCTTATGACCGTGTCTGTCTGGTAGCCGCTTGGTCCGTTAGTTAGCTAGTCTAGCCGTCTGGTTGGAAGAGCCGAGCCCTGGGACCCGCCATACTCCACCGTGTTCCCCAGACCGCTGGTAACAGGGGCACATCCCGGCGGGCTGGCTTCCAGCAGTGACAGCATGGCACGCCCTGAGACTGGCAGGGTGGGTGGGGATGATGGCTCTAGCGCGTGGCCTGCGGGATGAGCTGATGGGCGCTGGAGCTCTGCATCCCTAGGCTGCCAGCTCCTGCCCAGCCCAGGTTGGGCGGCGGCTGACGATCGTAGCCATTTGGGGGCTCTGTGATTTGCATTGGTGGGGGGCGGTCTCTGCCCACTTGCCTGGTCAGGCAGTGCCCACATCCCAGGACATCGGTGTGGTTGTCTGCCCCTGGAGGGGAGTCCTGCCAGCTCACAGCCTGGGGAACCTCACCCAGCAGCTGCCACTCCTGTCCCTGGTCCGTGGCTGCATGGAGGCCCCTGGAGCTGTGGGTGTTGCCTTCATGCCGTCCTGCCCAGCCCAGCGGCTCCTCACCCCCTCGCTCCCTCTCTCTGCAGGATGCCGACAGGTTCGCGCTGCCGCCCCACTTGGAGGAGGGCAAGGAGAAGTGCCCGTACGACCCCGCCCGCGGCTACACCGGCCTCATCGTAGGTAGGTGGGGCCGGAGGCCGACGGGGCCGCTCGCCTGGGGTTCCCCAGGGAGGTCACGGCTTGATCTGGCTCTGGGCTGTCACTGAGCGAGTTGGAGCAGCCCAGGAAGGTTTTCCCCCTGCCCAAATTTCTGTGCACCCCTCAGGGGCTAGAGCCAGCCTTCCCTGCCTCTCCTTTCACAGCCAGTCACCTCCCCACAGTGCCCACCTGCCCCACGGCGTGCCAGTTCCCTTCTATCCCGAACCCTGCCCGAGCCCTACACTGCCTGGCGTGGTGCAGCCGCAGGAAGGAGAAATCCCCCCCACCTCCTGGCAGGGTCTCTGCGAGGGTCCAGCCAGGCCCCGATGCGATCAGGGCTGGGGAGCAGTGTCCACGGGCACACGTTACACAGGAATCCCCGAAGTGGGTCCAGCCTGGCCACGTGGCTTCCCCTTCCCCCGCCCTCCTCCCCCGGCCCCGGTGCTAAGTGAGTGGGATGTGGGTTGGGCCACAGGTGGCTAAACAACGGAGGGACCCTGACCTGTCCTTCCCCCCGATCTCAGACGGTGGGTTGTACACGGCCACGCGGTACGAGTTCCGCAGCCTGCCAGACATCAGGCGCAACCTGCACCAGCGGCCCCTGAAGACGGAAGAGTCCCCTGTGCACTGGCTAAACGGTAAGATCCAGCGGCCCCAGGAGAGACCTGACCCTCCCCCTCCTTTGCCAGCTCCGAGCGCCCCTTCAGCCCCTCCGGGCTGAACCCTGCCGTCCTCGGGCAGAATAACGCCCAGGGGACATTGAAACGGGCGGAATAGACTCGTCTGAGTCGGCCCCGCGACACCCGGGTCTGAATCTTGGCTGTACGTTTCATCCGCAGCCTAGCACCTCCTCGCTGCCCATCTGGCAGGGGGCACAATGCGGGGTGCTCGGGGGGGGGGTGCCTTGCCCACCCCCAGATCAACAGGCCTGGCAGTGGGGCAGAGATACATGTGGCTCTGTGGGGCTGCAAAGTATTCGCACGAACGTGGCCGGCCAAAGGCAGCCGAAAGGGCGTCTCTGCTCCTCATGCCACGCCTTCCCCTGTGCCATGGAGAGGGCAGAAGCCGGGGCCTTCTCCATTAGCAGAGAGCAGGGCACCCATCGCATGATGCACCCAGGACCATCCTCGGAGCCTTGGCACTGATCCTAGCGACCCGCCTCCATGCCCCTTTCCTGGGGAGGGCATGGCACTGGCCACGGAGCGGGCAGCTCTGCTTTGTTCATACGGCTGAGTTCCTTCCTCCTCCTCTTGTTTGTCCCATCAGTCTTTGCCCCCCGCCTCTTTTTGGGGGTGTCCTGGCGTTGATCACTCTCCGAACCTTTTCACACCCTGGCCTCATGTTGAGTGGCAGCCTGTCCCGCTGCACACCCTGGCGAAAACCTACTGCCGGGAATCTGGGTCACTCCGGTGATGGGGCACCCTGAACATCTTGCCATGTCTGGGCGGGCGGGGTGCCCCAGATCACTAAGAGTTGGGGGGTTCGCTAACCAGACCAGCAGTGGGCACAGATGCCAGCTGGAGTGCTCACGGTGGGGGGATGAGACACAGCACGGATCTCAAAGCTCTTGTCAGGCCCTGCAACAACCCTGCAGCAGAGGGGCGGGCGGTATCGTCCGTCCTCATTTCAGGGGAAGGAAGCTGAGGCATCCAGAGGGAAAGGGACGTAGGCAGCGGCAGAGCTGGGTACCGATCAGACCCACCACCCGCCCGGCGGCGGGGCGCGTCTGACGCCGCTGCTGTTTGCAGATGCGGAGTTCGTGGCCTCTGTGCTGGTCCGGGAAAGCGTGCACAGCCCCGTGGGGGACGACGACAAGCTCTACTACTTCTTCATGGAGCGGGCGGCCGAGGAGAGCGCCTCCTTTGACAAGAGCCACGTGGCCAGGGTGGCCAGGGTGGCGCGGGTGTGCAAGGTAAAGAGACACTGCCGATACTCGATCCGCTCCCTCCGCATGAGTGCGGCACATCAATGCCCGCGGGACGGCTCTGCAACAGGGGAACCCCCCAGCGGAGCTAGCCGTCATCTGCAGGGCGTGCGGGGGGCGGGGGAGGGCGCAGAAGGGGCTCTTGAGAGAGCCTCCCAGGTGTGTGCCTGCTGCTGCAGGATGGTGCGAACGCGAGCCGGATTCAACTCACAGCCAGCCCAGAGCCGGCATCAGCCGCCATCAGCCGGCAATGCAGAGTAGCCCCGCCCATGTCCATGCAGGTGAGGATTGGTTTTGTGGCTATCCTGGGAGCCTGAGGCACGGGCCAGGACCCCGAGGTGCTAGGAGCTGTACAGACACAGAACAGGACAAGCCCTGCCCCAGTAGCTTGCAATCGAAAGGCCGGCTGCAATGGGGTTTACGTCTGGGGAGCCCCCTTCCCTGGCCCGTCTGAGGCCCTGAGCAGCTGCAGGGGTCGGGGGGTTGGGAGCACCCCGGTCCCGGGGGGCTCAGAGGCTGTGACGGGGCAGCCCAGGCGACAACCTCGCCCTCTCCCAGCGCTTCCCTTCCCTTCGCAGAGCGACCTGGGCGGGAAGAAGATCCTGCAGCGGAAATGGACGTCGTTCATGAAGGCCCGGCTGGTCTGCTACATCCCCTACTACGAAGTGCTCAAGGGCGTGCACAGCGTGGACGGGGGCAGCTGGCCCAGCACCATCTTCTACGCCACGTTCACCTTGTCGGCTCAGTGGTGAGTGGGATCCTGCGGGGCCCACAGACTCGTCCCCAGAGCAGGGTGCTGGATCCACTGGGGGGTCGTGGGCTGGAGCAGTTCAGCAGGGTCGCCTGGTCCCCTGTGGGCGACCCCGAGAGCTGAGAGAACGGCTGATCCCAGGCTGCAGGGCGCCTGCCCCTGGTCAGAACAGCTGGTTCTGCCTCCCCCTTTGCGTCCCGCCGGCCGTCCCCAAACAGGTCCTCTTCCACCCCGGGCTCTCTGTGCTTTGTCCACTGCCGGCGTCTGACCCGTTCCCCCGTCACCACCCTGCTTGGCCAGCCAGGCTGCCGGGCCGGGTCCATGTGCTTTCAGCTCCCTGATCTGTGCCGAGTCCGGCCCTGCCTCTGGCTCTCTCGGCGCGCTCTGGGCGGGCAGATCCTCCTCCTAGCACCCCGCGCTCCAGCTGCCTCAGCCCTGGAACCCCCTTCCTGGAGCTCGAGCCTTGGGGCTCTCTGGGCTACGGTCCACCCCAGCAGGGACACGTGAGAGCCGCAGCGCCCAGCCACAGGCTGTGCAAACAGCATTCCCAAACCAGTCCCTCTTTCCTATAGACAGCACAGAATATACGCAGCTCCGAACAACCCACTAAACCACCCAGATGCCATCCCCTGCCTCAGTTTCCCCCCCACTCTGCAGGATTTGGGTCAGCGTCCTTTCAAGGGTCCTGGACCCCTCTTCCCCTCTCCGTCACTCTGTGTGGGTCTAAAGATTCGGATTGACTCCGGGCCTGTGTTTTCCCCTTCCTGGGGAAATTCCACTGCTCCAAATCCTCCTCGTGGCCAACCACCTGGGGAGTTCGGGTTCCTCCAGCGCAGGCAGCCTCTTTAGCATAACCATTGTCCTGTCTCAGCGCAGACGTAAGGTTAACAACTTCCTTGGTTCATTCAGCCGCTTCCTCCAGAGCAGGGGGTGGTGATAGAGTCAGGGGCCCCCCCCGGCTGACTCACGCCCCATTGAGCCATTCACTGATACAGCAATTTCACCCAGTGACCCAGACTTCGTGAGTTGTGCGTAGCCAGATCCCCCAAAGCGTGTCACCCCCCCCCACCCCCCCAAGTGACGATCTACCTTAGTGCGCAGATCTGGCCACGCTCCGCAGCACGGGAACGGTACATGTAGGGACCGTGAGAAAAGCCGAGAGCATCATGTGGTTTTAAACAAGCTCTTCGTTGCGCCGTTGCATGGGGCGGCTCGGGGCTGTTGATGGCCCTGGTGTCACAGCTGACTTGTTCCTGGGAATGGTGCGAACAAGAGGCAGTGTATAAACGTATAACTGGGAAAACCCAGTGCCTGGAGCTCAGGAGGAAGACACAAAGCCCAGGTTACTGGGACCGCAGAGAGAGATGGTGGTTTTCCTAATTTGCTGGATTATTTCCCAACCTCAACACTCGTGCTCCACAGGGAGATTTCTGCTTTCACCGTCCATTCCAAACGCATCGGGTGTTACAAACGTTTGGGTCCCTGTTTGCAATGCTCCATTTGTGTGCAGAGGGCAAACCTGGACAGCAGGGGATCAATGGGGCACAGAATCATAGAATATCAGGGTTGGAAGAGACCTCAGGAGGTCATCTAGTCCAACCCCCTGCTCAAAGCAGGACCATCCCAGGCAGGGCTTTGTCAAGCCGGGCCTTAAAAACCTCTAAGGATGGAGATTCCACCACCTCCCTAGGGAACCCATTCCAGTGCTTTGCCACCTTCCTAGTGAAAGTTTTTCCTAATATCCAACCTAGACCTCCCCCACTGCAACTTGAGACCATTGCTCCTTGTTCTGTCATCTGCCACCACTGAGAACAGCCGAGCTCCATCCTCTTTGGAACCCCCTTTCAGGTAGTTGAAAGCAGCTATCAAATCCCCCCTCACTCTTCTCTTCTGCAAACTAACCAATCCAGTTCCCTCAACCTCTCCTCGTAAGTCATGTGCCCCACCCCCCTAATCATTTTCATTGCCCTCCACTGGACTCTCCAATTTGTCCACATCCTTTCTGTAGTGGGGGGACCAAAACTGGACGCAATACTCCAGGTGTGGCCTCACCAGTGCCGAATAGAGGGGAATGATCACGTCCCTCGATCTGCTGGCAATGCCCCTACTTATACAGCCCAATATGCTGTTAGCCTTCTTGGCAACAAGGGCACACTGTCCACTCATATCCAGCTTCCCGTCCACTGTAACCCCTAGGTCCTTTTCTGCAGAACTGCTGCCTAGCCAGTCGGTCCCTAGTCTGTAACAGTGCATGGGATTCTTCCCTGATAAGTGCAGGACTCTGCACTTGTCCTTGTTGAACCTCATCAGGTTTCTTTTGGCCCAATCCTCCAATTTGTCTAGGTCACTCTGGACCCTATCCCTACCCTCCATCGTATCTACCTCTCCCCCCAGCTTAGCGTCATCAGAGAAGCCCGGAGCCCGAAGGCTTCCCACAGAACGGTTAATTGTCGCTGCATGCATTATGTTGCAGGTGGCAGGGAGGGAGTGGAACAGTTCTGGCAGGGTTCCTATCTCCACCTTATCTGGTGGAAACGCAGCCCAGTTAAACAGGAGGAGGTTTAGCAGGAACCAGAGCTATCAAGGAGCCGGGGCGTATTTCACTTGGGCACATCTGGGCCAAGCTCCAATGGCCGTTTTAATGGAAAGGGGCGTTTCCTGTTGGTTATTGACATTGATGTGAATTCTAATGAATCGCTGCTTGGCTAATTAGCCGGGTCTGTCGCTAGAAGCCTGACACTGACGGTGGCTATTTATAGCACAATGGCACAGGGAGAAGGACTGGGCTTGGATGGTTTCTATAGAGAAATTCATTAATGATCACTCAGGGGGCTCGTTAACCCCCCAGGAGTGGGTCAGCCTGGGGAGTGTGCAGGCAGCCGGGAAGAATCCAGGTGTGAGAGGGTTAAATTAAAGGGAAAGCGGCGATGGCACCATAGCCTAGTAGTTAGTGCACTCCCAGGCAGGTGTCCTGATCCACTCTCCAGGGCACCAGCCTTCCTCGCACGGCTGGTAAGGGGGAGGGTGAAGATGAGCGGGGAAGGGAGGGAGCCTCTCGAGGCGGCAGCAGCAAGCAGTAATCCATCCCGCTCCTGATGACCAGGGAACCTGAAACCACCTCCTGAGCTGGATCTCACCCAGACACCCCCCTCCCCCCCCAGGGCCAGCTTCTCGCATTGAGCGCACCGGGCGAGGAAGGGGCAGCAGCCCAGGGCAAGCATCTCCAGGGATCACAGGGCCACCCCGCTACCAAGCACGGAGCTGGGCGTTCACCCTCCCACCTCCCAGCTGTACTGTAAGCTGGGCAGAGGGCGCTGGGCCGGGGCTTAGACCTCTGTGACCTTGGGCAGGTCAGCGACTGGGAGGTGGGAATAGTGCCGGGCCAGCACTGAGGAAGAAGCCCCCTCTCGCTCCACCCCGCAGTGGGGGCTGGATGCCAGGCTGTCTGGGGTTGGGAAGGAATTTCCTCTGGGGTGGGGCACAGGGGTTTTAGGAGCCAGTGGGGCCGTGAGAGCCAGCTGGGGTCCCCCAAGCCACGTGCTGAGGGCTGGCCGCTCACCGGGGGCTGCCCTTCCTGGGCTCTGTGTGACGCCTGGGGTCACGGGGTAGGTTTAACAGAGTGGGGAAACTGAGGCACTCGTTGGGGCTGGGGCTCGTTGTGCACTGGGTCAGTGGCAGAGACAGGAATAGAGCCCTGGAGTCCTGACTCCCGGAGTCCTCGAATGGCTGCTTCTCTCCACCTCCCGTCCTGCTCACGTGCCAGCGTTCCCCTCTGGTGAGGGCATGCCGCTCTCAACACCTCCAGCAGGCCTGGTCTGGGGCTCACTCGGGATCTCCCCAGAGAGCCCTGGCTTGGGAAATCGCCGAGCTCCCAAACTTGGGGGCTCTTCCCCGACCTGCGGGGCCTCCGCCTGGCACTCCCCCGCCCCCCGCTGAGGCAGGAGACGTGCGGCGGGTGACCCTGCTATTGAGTCTCCGTTCCCTACCAGCTCATCTCCGGCGCCTTTGGGGCTGATTTGCCCACGCTGCTGCGGGCAGGGGGCTGGCAAACAGCGCGGGGGCGCAGCGACCTCGCTGCCGGAGCGAGGCAGCCGCTGGGAGCAGAACCGGAACCGCCTGGGCTTTTGCTGGTTCCTCTAGCCCACCTGGGAGACCAGGACCGGACCAGCAGGGGGGCTGCGGGTCGGGATTGAGGGGCGTTGGCAGAGCTGTGTGCTGCCCGGGTTGGCGAGGTTGCCCATCTGCTCCCTGTGCTGGGCTTGGACAGTGGCTCTGTGTCATTTGTGGACGCACTGTCCATCCCCCTGTCCCTCTTAGGGCCTCCTGCTCCCACGTCCCATCCTGCCACAGCGTTTGCCAGCCGGCGCCTGGTGGAGCAGTTTTCCATTCCCTTTCCCTGGAGAGACACGTCTGGGTCTCAGGAGGCTGGGGTTCACTGCCACTGCCTTGCCGTGTGACTCTGGGCAAGCCCCTTCCCCCTCTGGGCCTCGGGTTCCCGTCTGTAAAATGGGCATCATGCGACAGATCCACTTTGCCACCTGCTTTGAGGTCTCTGGCTGCCGGTCCATGGGACGGTCCTGTCGTTATTTCAGAGCTCCTTGTCCTCCTCCAGGAAAGCCTGGGTGTTTGGGGCCGTTTCGGTAGGATCCAGCTCTCAGTGAGGGAGAGGGCGGCGTGGTCAGTGGCTGGGGCGTCTGGCGGATGGAGCAGAGGTGCGTGTAGCCCTTGGGGGGGCCTGCGGGTCGCTGATCCTGTCGCTGTCTCTCCTAGGAGGAGCATGGAGGCATCCGCCGTCTGCCAGTACAACATCTCTGAGCTGCAGAGGGCTTTCGAGGGCCCCTACATGCAATACCAGGACAACACCCGCAAATGGACCCTCTACGACGGGGAGGTGCCGGCCCCGCGGCCGGGCTCTGTAAGTGACCTGGCGACGCCAGCGCCCCCTGCTGGCCTGCAAACATGCCCTCGGGCTTCATCCCCAGGAGGGATGGGCGAGGGGCAGCAGGGATGGGGCTGGGAGCCAGGACGGCCTGGATGCTGGTCCCAGCTCTGCTGGTGACTCACGGCCAGGCCCACCGGTTCCAGCCTGCATGGCTCCCTCCTCGAGGTCTGGGGGGCAGGGGGTGGCGCTCACACCCCAGCCGCCAGCCACTTCCCGAGTTTTGGAGGGTTGGGGGGGAGAAATCAGCTGAACGTGAGCTAATGCGATCCGGGGATGTATAAACTGGAATCTCGAGGAGTAGAGAGGTTATTTTAGCTCTGTATTTGGCCCTGGTGCGACCGCTGCTGGGGTCCTGTGTCCGGGTCTGGTGCCCGCAGTTGAGGAAGGATGTTGATCAATTGGCGGGGGTCAGAGAATGGTTCAAGGACTGGAAACCCCGCCTGGTAGCGATAGACGCAAGGAGCTCAGGCTAGCTAGCTGAACAGAGAGCAGGTGAAGGGGGGACTGATCACAGTCTGTCAGCACCGAGGGGGGGAACAAATATTGGGTACCGGGCTCCTCAGTCTGGCAGACAACGGTCTAACACCATCTGAAGCTGGACAACTTCCGACCGGAAATAGAGTAACTAACCGCTGGAGCAATGTACCAAGCGCCTGGTGGAGTCCCCGTCACTGGGCGCTTGTCTGAACTCTGCTCTAGGAGGGATTTGGGGGCAGGTCTCTGGCCTTTGCTATGCAGGGGGTCAGACGAGTTGGTCACAGTGGTCCCTTCTGGCCCTGGCGTCGAGGAAAGCCTGGAGGCCGAGGCGGGAAGGGATCCCGTGTAACACAGAGCAGGATGTTTCACCCCATGCTGAGGCCAGGTGCAGTCAGCCCACAGCACGTCAGTCGTCAGGACTGAAAGGAACAGCAGCGCCCATGCACCGAGCCCCATGCAATGGGTTAGGTGAGACGTGCCCAGGTGATCCCCACAGATCCTAGCCTGCCAGGCGCTGTTCACCAGCTGCTGTGTCCCGCCCCAGAGGTGGCCTCCTTGGCCCAGCGGGCAGGCTGCGTACCCGTCCCTAGCCACCTCTCCTCCCCCGTGCAGTGCATCACCAACCGCTCCCGCGAGGACGGCTACCACTCCTCCCAGGACCTACCCAACGGCGTGCTGGATTTCGTCAAGCTGCACCCGCTGATGTTCGAGGAGGTGAAGCCGGCGCGGGGGGAGCCCCTGCTGGTGAAGAAGAACGTGCTCTACACGGCCCTGGCGGTGGACAGGGCGCCGGCCCTGGACGGCCAGCAGTACGACGTGCTCTTCATGGGGACGGGTGCGTCGGCGCCGCCCCTCCCCCACGTGAAGGGTTGGGGGGTCAGTGTTGTCTGGGGGCCCTGAGTCGCTCGCCCAGGCTGAGTGGGACGGGGGACCCCAGTGTGGCTGGGGCGCCTGGGCGGACGCTGCCACCAGAGAGGGGACCCACAGAAGGAGGGGGGGTAGCACAGAGTCCTACACCCCCACCGGGGCAGCAGCCAGGAGCTGCCGTGCCCGGGCCAGGGGGGAACTTAGCTGTGCGGTTGCCCGACCCCAGTCCTGGCCTGTGGGCACAGCGCTCGCCCGCCCGGCGCTGCCCTGACGGTGCCCCTCTGCCTTTGCCCAGGTGACGGCTGGCTGCACAAGGGGGTGGTGATCGGCTCCGCCGTACACATCGTGGAGGAGCTGCAGGTCTTCGGGGCCCCCCAGCCCGTGGAAAGCCTGGTGATCTCCAAAGGCCAGGTGAGACGCCGCTCCGGGCTGCACCCCGACTCCGCCGGGGGGGACAGAGTAGAGCCGGCCCCCAAGGGGGAGGCACTGCAGACACGCCGCCCCTCCAGGGGCCCTTTCGCTTGTAGATGGCAGAACAAAATGGGCGTGTTGAAGCCCTTGGCTGCCATAGCCCGCAGCCAGGCCCATCGAAATCTAGTGGCGCATCGGGGTGCCCCCCTGAGGGGGGATCGGGGCCAGGGCGACGAGCGAGGAAGGAGAGGCAGGGACTTCTGCTGGCTGGAGCAGGGGGCCGGGCATCAGGACGCCTGGGTTCTATTCCAGAGTCTGCCACTGACTCCCGCCCATCCGCGGCCCCTCTGTACAGTTGCCCGGGCGGGGGCAGGAGGAACAGCCGCCTTTGTGTCGTGAGCTGGGCTGCCAGGCCCTGGCGCTGCAGGGCGGCAGTGAATGGGGCCCCCGGGGCCTGTCTCCCACCCAGCCACACTTTAACCTCCTTCCTGGGCAGCTGGCTGAGCCGAGAGGGCTGGCGGTGGGTGGCCGGCACTCCCTGGGGCCCGTCTTGCCCAGAGAGCTGGCCGCACTGCAGGGCGGCTCTGATTAGCCAGCCTGGCCCCCTGCCCACGGCAGAGGCGTGGCCTGGCACTGGCTGACCCCAGCTTGGAATGCCAGAGCTTATCGGAGCCTGGGCGCCCTCGGCTGCCTGCCAGCCTGCCCGCCCCAGGGCGGGGACTCAGAGCTGTGCTGTGGGGCAGGGCACCTCCCCACGCCCCAACGTTAACCCCTCTTTGGCAAGGCGCTGGCTGGCCCACGTGGGGCAGGGGGCTCTGCTGAATGAGAGGGGCGTCCCTGGGGCCCCTCCCTGCCCTCGGGGGTCTCAACCTCCCCTCTCCATCCTGCTGCCCTTATCCGAAGCCCTGGGGAGCCCCCCCCGCCCCGCCGTGCACCCCCGCTGGCCTTCCAAGCACAGGCCTCAGCAAGCCAGAGGAGGCAGCAACAGCAGAGCCAGGCCCCACCCCCCGCCCAGTGGGGCAGGGCCTGGGGCTGTTCCCCCACGGCCATTGTTACTGGGGCCTCTACATGGGGGAAGGGAAACCCCCCTCTTTGTAGCGCCCCCATCCCAGCCCCTCAGTTGGGGGGTGCAGCCCAGAGCCTAGGAACCAGGAAGCCAGGAACCGTACTGATCCCCTGGGTGCCACCCAGCCCCGGGCCCCGATCACTTCCCCAACACCACGGGAGTGAGTCGATTGGGGGGTGAGCCCCGTTCCATGGGGGGACTGAGGCAGTGACCTGCCCAAGGACACACATAGGTCAGTGACACAGCTGGGAGGAGAACCCAGGAGTCCGGGCCCTCAGCCTCCCGCTCTAACCACTAGACATGCTGCCTCCCAGAGCTAGGAATAGAACCCGGGAGTCTTGACTTCCAATGTCCTGCTCTGTGCCCAGCGGAGCCGCTGCCTGGCTGGGGCTAGTTTCTGGGGGGCAGATTCTCTTAGGCCTCGGTTCAGGTGTGTGTCTGACGATGCCCTAAGAGAAGGCGCGTTCCCACGTCGGTGTGATCGAGTTTCACCTCGGCCCGGACCAAGGTTTCAGCCGGCTCGTAACACCGGGGTCTCTGCTCTTCGCCTACAGAGAAGCGTGTACGTGGGGGCTGCCAGCGGAGTCCTGCAGCTCCCCCTGTGCAGCTGCGCCAGGTACGGCTCCTGCTACGACTGCATCCTGGCCCGGGACCCCTACTGCGCCTGGGACGGCGAGGGCTGCAGGGAGGTGGCCGGCGCTGCGGACAGGTACGGAACCGCTGAGCTTCTCCCTCCCAGCGGGGAGGTCCCGGCCCCGGCCCCTGAGCGGCCTGCCGCACCCAGCTCCTGCTGCCTGGGTGAGACACGGCCGTGGGGTTCCAGGAGCTGCCGGCCCAGCCTGGGCTGGAGGGATGCTGGACTCAGCCAGCCAGAACGCCGTCTGGGAACTGGAGCGCTGCTGGGTGTGGAGGGGGGCACCGCAGCCTCCCCCAACGCTGCCCGGCAGGACAGCTCGCCCTGTGCAGGGTGAACCCCCCTCCTGGTGTCTCCTGCTGGGGACGTGCGCCGGGACATTGGGACTTCCCTACGCCCCGGCCCACCAAGCAAACCGCCCCCTGCCAGCTCCACCGCCGGAGGGGCTGCGGTGCCAGCTTAGCTCTTCGTTGGCATTGGTGCTCAGGGAGCCCCGACTTCTCACCCCGGCTCCCACGCTGCCCCCGGGTGCTTCCTTCGCCCAGAATGGCACCGTTAACCGGGCTCTGGTCAGAGCTGGGATGCTGGGGACCAGCTGGCTCTGTGTGCGCGTGTCCGCAGGCAGAGCTGTGAGCATGTGTACCTGCCTGTAGGCGGGGCAGGGTGTGCACGCGTGTGCGTGTCTGCGGGCAGGGTTATGTGTGTGTGTCTGCGGGTGGGGCTGTGTGTGTGTGTCAGCAGGTGAGGTTGCGTGTGTGTGTGTGTGTCTGCAGGTGGGGTTGCGTGTGTGTGTGTGTGTGTCTACGGGCAGGGTTGCGTGTGTGTGTCTGCGGGCGGGGCTGTGTGTGTGCGTCAGCAGGTGAGGTTGCATGTGTGTGTGTGTGTGTCTGCGGGCGGGGTTGCATGTGTGTGTGTCTGCGGGCGGGGTTGCGTGTGTGTGTGTGTGTCTGCGGGCGGGGTTGCGTGTGCGTGTCTGTATGTCTGCAGGCGGGGTTGCGTGTTCGTGTGTGTGTGTGTGTGTGTGTGTCTGCGGGCAGGGCTGCGTGTGCGTGTGTGTGTGTGTGTGTCTGTGGGCAGGGCTGCGTGTGCGTGTCTCTTAGGGCCGTCGGCCCCCTGCTGACACGGCCCGTCTTGCTCTTCACAGGACCCAGCTGACCCAGGACGTGCAGCACGGCAGGGAGGGCTGCTGGAACGGCTCCGCCCAGGGTAAGGCTCCGCCCCGCCCCGCCCCGCCGCTGTGAACTCAGGCCGGGACCATCCAGCCTCCGCTCCACGGGAAGCGTCTCACTGGCCCCCTCACAGCCCCCACCTTCACCCCCAGTTCCCCGGGAGGGAGGAGTCATCGTCCTGCCCAAAGCATTCTGGGAACTCTCACAGCTCAGCCATTGCCTTACCATGGCAGTCCCGGGGGAGGGGCGGGCAGTCCCAAGGCATTCTGGGAACTCTCACGGCTCAGCCATTGCCTTACCATGGCAGTCCCGGGGGGGGCGCTCCCGTCCCAAGGCATTCTGGGAACTCTCACGGCTCAGCCATTGCCTTACCATGGCAGTCCCAAGGCATTCTGGGAGCGCGCTCTGGGCTCACCACGGGGCGCCGGCCGTGGGGCGCTGGTTGAGCTCCCCCTCCTCCTCTCTCTCTCCCCCAGCGCCCCCCGTGCAGAAGAACCGGACGGTGCTGCGGGGCGACGACGTGCTGCTGCCGTGCGAGCAGCGCTCCAACCTGGCGCGGGCCGCGTGGCTGGTGAACGGCACGGCCGGGCTGGCGGCCGGGCGGGGCCACTTCCGGGTGGGGGTGGACGGGCTGCTGGTGACGGACACCCTGCCGGAGCACAGCGGCGACTACGGCTGCTACGGGGAGGAGAACGGTCTGCGCTCCCCGCTGGCCGCCTACGCCCTGACGGTGCTGCCGGAGCCGCCCAAGGAGCAGCCGGCACCCAGAGCCCTGCCGCCCCCGCACACCGACCGCCTGGCCTCCCCCGACATGAAGTTCGTCTACATCGCGGTGATCGCAGTGCTGGGCGGGCTCTGCCTGGTGCTGAGTGCCGTGCTGCTCCACGTCTCCTGCTTGCAGCGCCGCAAGGGCAGGTACGTGCTAGGTGAGCCCCGCGCCTCCTCCGTGGAGCTGCAGACGGTCTCGGCCAACTGCCTGGGCAGGGGCCGGCAGGAGGAGGAGCTGAGCCGGGAGGACGGCTGCCTGCAGATCATCCCGGGCGAGGCCCCCACGGCGGCGTCCCCGGCCAGGGAGACGCCCCTGGCGCCCCCGCCGCCGCCCCCTCCGCTCCCGGCCGAGTTCACCAACGGCATCGCCGCCCTGCCCAACGTGGTGCGCAAGATGAACGGCAACAGCTACATGCTGCTGCAGCAGGAGGAGCCCAGCCCCTCGCCCCTCTACAACACCTCCTTCGCCGAGGAGCTGAGTAAGCTCCTGGAGAAGCGCAAACACACGCAGCTGGTGGACAAGCTGGACGAGAGCTCCGTGTAGGGGCCCCCGGACGCCGGTCGGATTCAATCCCCCGCCCCCGTCCCCCCCCCCACCAACCAGTGTTACACAAACCCCCTGGGAAACTACCTCTGGAACCGAACCGCTGGGCCGGGCCTCGGAGCGCCGGGATCCCGCCTGCCGGGGCCCGGAGCCCGTTGTAAAGAGACACTGATTGAAATGGGAAATCTATTTCTGTACAAAAGATGACAATCCGGAAAGAGGAGCCAGCAATACGGCGGTGTCAGGGTGGGGCAGGAGGAGACGCCTGCCCGGACGCTGGCCTCGAACCGCTCCGGCAAGGCCTCTGCCCAGCCCTGGGAGCGGCAGCCGGGCCGGGGAGAGGTGGGAGCTGGCCCCTGCGTGCTGAGAAGAGGTAGGTGACAAAGGCAGCAGTTGTTAAAGTCCTACCTGCGAACTGCTTTCTGGTGACAGCTCTCACGGAGCGGCCCCAGCGCCGGGTCGGGGCCGAACGCTTTGGCCGCTGCTTGCCAGGGGCTTGCCCAGCCCTGGGGCTTTGGCACTTCATCGGCTGCCGGTGCGGGGTTGGTTCTGGTGGAGCAGTGTCCAGCAGCCCCAGCTGAGATCGGCGCCCCGTCGAGCTGGGGCTGGCCGGAGACAGTCCCGCGGTAAGCAGACAAGACAGACCAATAGGGGGAGAGAGGGAGCACCATCCCCACCGTTCGGAGGGGGGCTGAGTGACTCACCCTGGGAGTTGAACCTCGAGCTTCTGCGGCCCAGCTTAGTGCTTGAACCACTAGGCCAGCCTGCCTGATGCCAGCTGGGCCCTGCTACGTGGGTTTGTTTGCTGAAGAACCTTGGAGCTTGTGTGTGTGTGTGTGTACAAGGATGCGGAGTGCACAAGGACAGGGTGTGTGTGTGTGCGTGTGTGTGTGTGCACAGAGGATGGGAGGGGGAATGTGCACAAGGACAGGGGAGGTGTAGGGGTGCAGAGCCCTGTGACATACGTGGAGGTGTGGGGGGAGGGATGTCTATGGATACCTGGCTGGCAGGGCGGTCCAGTGGTTTGACCAGCAGGCACGGGGTGGCTGTGTTGCTCACACAGGGTGACCCAGAACCCTCTCCCAGGGGGGGGGCCCTCCTCCCCTGCCCATCATGTGCGTGGCACTTTAGGGACAGTTGTCAGAGTCTGAACAAATTACAGTGGGATTATTTTCTGTCTCCCTCCACCTGTCCCGCCAGGGGCCGTCGTTCCCTGGCTCCCAGTGCCCAGGGGGGAGGAAGTCCCCCCCATGCCCCCAGAGTGGGGCAGGGATCCCCATCCCAGCGTGGTGAGGGATCGGCCTGCAGAGCCCTGGCGTTTGTCCTGGCAGAGAAGCGCTTTGTGATGCCCATCCTGGCCCTTGGGGTGATTTGGGGGGTGGATTTCCCATGGCAGGAGGGGGTTCCCCATCTGAGGGCTCTTTGAGCTGCTCCGAGGTGGGGTGCTGGGCTCAGCCTGGGGGTGACAGGCGAGGGGCAGCGATGCACTGCAAGGCGTGCGATTCTTGCATGGCTCTTTCCTCCCTCCACGTGTGTCATGGGGCCCTGCAATTCATCACGCGGATGCAGATGGGGTGAGGCGCAGAACCCTCCCCCCCCCCAGCTCTGTGCTGCCTCGCCCTAGCCTGGCTCAGCCCTGAGCTGGTGGCCAGCGGCCGCTTCCGGCCTGGGCTGTGTCTGTTTGATGGCCCTGGGCAGAGCACGTGGCCCCAGCCAGCCCCAGGAGGGATCCCTAGTGCGGGTTCACTCCTCCGAGAGCGTTGGAGATGCCAGCAGATGGGGCGATGGGAGAGTTGAGTTGGCACCGGCCCGCAAGGACCTTGCCCAGTTCCTGAGGCGTGTGTGGCTCACTCCTCTATACCTGGCGGCTCGGCTCCTAGGGGTCCCGCTCTGCTTCTTAGCTGGGTTCAACACCCGTCTCGGCCCTCGCAGGCTCCCGCCCTGCTCCCCTGAAGCCCGTCTTGGCGAGAGAGACCTGCCCTGGACCATGAGAACTGCTGCTCTCTGGGGTCAACGGACCATGCAAACGCAGAAAGGTATCCAGGGGCACAAACAGCCCAACTGGCCCCTGAGTGCCCCCCGGCCTGGCATCCGGAGGAGAGATCCCCGGGAGGATCTGGGCCCTGTCACTGAGGCCTGGAAGCTGCTGGCTGGCTTAAGAGCATCTTTGTGTTCGGTCAGCAGAGGTGCCAAGCTACTGGGATCGTCCCAGACATCGGGCACCCATGCTTCGCGGGGAGCCAGGCTGCAAAGGAACAGGCCAGCAAGGTGGGTTGCAGGATGCGGTAGGGCTGGGGTGTTAGCCAGAGAAATGCCCCTCACACCTGTGCTGGGGAATCGTGCTCTGAGTAACCACCTGGCCCAGCTTTGCCCCTGACGCCGGGCTGTGGGTGCGCTGCCGAGGTATCCTGGCTTCTGCTGGGGTTTAGTCAGTATGTGAATTTCGGTAGGGCCTGGGAAACCCCAGGCGAGGATCAGGACTCGGCCAAGCTGGGCCATCTATCTAGCCCAGTGTCCCATCTTCTGACGGTGGCCAATGCCAGGTGCTTCAGAGGGAATGAACAGAACTGGGCAATTTATCGAGTTATCCATCTGCTGCTGTCCATCCCAGCTTCTCGCAGTCAGAGATTTAGGGATATCCAGAGCACGGGGTTGCATTCCTGCTCATCCTGGCTAATTGCCGCTGACGGATCTGTCCTCCAGGAACTTATCTAGTTCTTTTTTTGAACCTTGTTATAGTCTTGGCCTTCACAGCATCCTGTGGCAATGAATTCCCCAGGTTGACTGTGCGTCGTGTGAAAAAATACTTCCTTTTGTTTGTTTTAAACCTGCTGCCTAGTAATGTCTTTGGGTGAGCCTTGGTTCTTGTGTTAGGAGAAGGAGTAAATAACACTTCCTGATTTACTTTCTCCACACCAGTCATGATTTTACAGACCTCTGTCATATCCCCCCTGAGTCGTCTCTTTTCCAAGCTGAACAGTCCCAGACTTTTTAATCTCTCCTCAGACGGAAGCTGTTCCATTCCCCTAATTATTTTTGTTGCCCTCTCTGTACCTTTCCTCATTCTCAGATACCATTTTTGAGATGGGGCGACCAGGTCTGCATGCAGTATCCGAGATGAGCACATTGAGGTCCATGCATGCAAAGATCTTCCCCCCGCACAGCAGAACCACTTTAAAGCAGTTAAACAATTGGATCTGGTGTAGGGACCAATTTGGGGTCTGGGATGGGGGAACCTTCATGCACTCAGGGCCGGCTCCAAGCACCAGCCAACCAAGCACGTGCTTGGGGCGGCACCTTGGGCCGGGGCGGCGCTCAGGTTTTTATTAATTTATTTATTGGGCGGGGGCTGGTGCGGCGCGGCGCTGGGGGGGCGGGGCTGGCGCTCGGAGG